TTTTTGCCGTATCCGGCTTAAACTATCATTCGAAAGACCTGTAAAATGTATGCCTGAAGGCTCCTTGTACCCCAAATTCTGTTATTCAAGGTTAAAATTAGGAAATTTCATAGTAGTCCCTGCTTCATTATGAAATTAATGAAAGTGGTGGGGGAAGGGGAGAGAAAGGACACAAAATTTTCAGGCAGCAGAAGTCAGCTGCTTTTCAAGGAAGAATTTATTCAGCCTAGAAACATCAAGGAAAAATACACAGCAAAATCCTCTTCTGTTCATACCATAGCATTTTACAGTTGTTAAGGAATTAATCATCCAGCTGTTACTGGTGCTGTTATTAGCCTCATTTCATAGAAGGTAGCAGCTGGAAAACAAGGCTTGAACAGTCATGAAGAAACAGAATATGATATTTATAGGAGAGTTTCAATAAAAAAAATCCTCCCCGGTGGAAAAAGTCACATTTTTTAGCTGCATTAATATATAAGAACTATTATTTGCTATAAAATAGTACTCCAGTGTTGATCTGGCCTAAGAGATCATGGTTATGAGTATACTTAAACAGCACTGAATCGTATAATGAATTATATGTCAAAGCTGTGTGCAAGGCAAGGAGGACAAAATCACGTCTTTAAAACTTTGCAGTTAGGATAAGCAGGTTGATCTGCCGTTGGCTTGTTACAGGAGGTCATTGTTTGCTGTCTCCATTGCACGTGTTGGGTATTTGACTGTCAGAGGTGGACCAAGCTGTTTTTGTGAGACAGCACACTTGCTAATAGCTAGACAGAGATGAACAAACTCAGGTCACCTATGCAACCTGGTCGCCAGTACATTAAAAAGCCACAACTCAGGGGCCCATCCAGCTGTTTCGAACACCAGTCCTAGAGGCACAACACAAAAGGCTCTGTGTCATATTGCCATGCCAAAAAAAATATCTCTTTGTTGAGTTCACTGACGTTTTGGTCTTGCATCTCATGGGGTACAAAGCTGGGTATTGTACATTAGGGTGGGGGGGTCAGCAATAGTTTGAACTCAACACAGACTGAAGGGTTGTCTTGATGATGTTTTACTCCTATTTGGCTCTTGATGTGTGCGTTTGACTCTACAGGATTGTCTGCTGCTGGTTAAAAAAGGCACTGATGCCTTCCTTTTTCCCCATGAGTCTGAAGCCTTCCCATTTCCCCATTTTTTAAGCCCTTTAAAGAGAAAAAATAGGCTCCTCTGACAGCAAATAGAAGTAACCACCAGCCTTTGGTAGATATCACCAACTGAAAATTAAAATAGTGAGGTAGGAGGTGGGGAAGACGGGGATGTTCTTGGCAGTGGGAACCCTGAATGCCTGAAACTGATGAAGCAACATCCTGGTGACTGAAAATGTTCTCACTTCCCCTGAAGCAGTAATTTGGCAAAATACCCCGTCTCATGGGGCATCATGTGATTTACCATCCTTGTTCTCTGGAATAAGGCTTTTCTAGACACTCGGTCACATTACCCAGCTCATTTATGCCACTGTTAGAGACTGCCAAAGCCATGCTGTGTCATAATGTTTGAAACGGAAACACAGACTTTACTTCTAATTATTTTCTCTTTTTTCCCTGCATTGGAAAGCGAGTTAAAACAAGTCAATCTAATGAGCCCCGCACTGCTCTAATCGAATGCTTGCAGGATGCTCACCCAATGTCACTTAAGTACTTCAGCATCAAAACTCCTGCCCGGTTCAAAGGGAGCAGCGTGGAGGTTTGCAGGAGGAAGCCAGCTCTAGAGAGGGAAGTTCGTTGCCTCTTTTTCTTGGTAATTCTGCAGGAGAGCCGCTGCCGCATGGAGCGGTATTAATCCCTTAGACATCTGTGCTTACGGACTCCAGCCGGGAGGGCACCCTCGAACTTATAGTTTCCATTTTCCTGGGTGTGTGGCAGGTGTCACAGCTTCTGCACTGATTTCTAAAATAACACAGCTTCTCTCTTAGCAGCCAGCAAAAGAAAAATACTTAGGACACTTTCTTGTTTCAGGTTCTTCCCAAATTGGAAGTATCCTTTGGGTTATTGGCCCCAGAGTCCACTCTGGTTGCTCAAGATTCCTTTCTAGAAGCTTTTCTGGATGCTAAGTACATCCACTTGCTATCCCTGGCATTGGCTGTCTCAAAGCCAAAGGGAGATGTTAGGAACAGCAGGCTGTTTCTCTTTTATTTCTTTTTTGGTTTTGGTTTTTTTTTCAGCAACAAGTTTGTATTTGGCTCTCTTTATAAAGGAAAAGTGTTGCTTGGGAATAGTTTCACTGCTGGTTTTTTCCCCCATCACCCTGGTTATAACTTGCATCCTGCCTCCAGGTTCTGCTAGTAGCTTCCTATAGTTTCATCATCTCTCTTTAACTGACCTGGTCAGTAGTTAGTTGTTAATGTGGTCTGCTTTTCTGTGATCTTGAATCTGGTGGTTATGAGCTAAATGTATTGGCAAAAGTGGCCGACTCATAGGATAGCAAGTTTTGGAAGGGACATCTGGTCCGATACCCTGCTCAAATCAGGTTGCTCAAGACCGGGTGCAGCAGTTTTTAATGTCTCCAAGGATAGAGGCTCAACAACCCAACACCTTTAGAGGCATGCTGGTATGTGTTAACCTTTACAGTAACGTAACTGGAATCCGTAATTGTGCATTAATCTTCCCAGTCAACACTCCACTGAGAAAAGCCATACTGGTAACTATCTGCCCTTGCTTGGAGCTGTCAGAGAAGCCTCCTTGCCCAGGGCCATCAGTTCCTCCAGCCCTGGCACCTCCCGTCCCTTCCCTGCTTTGCAGGGATGACTACAGCAGGAGCTGCCTCTGGGTTCTGCTGCCTCTTTCGAGGACACCGAGACACTTCGGTCATCTTCCACACTGTTCTATGAAAGGACACAGCTATTTACTTGCCGATTTACTAAACTTTCTGTGGGACTGTTTTTTAAAGCAGCTTCAACAAACCCATGACTATGAACCCAGCACAGATATACATTTTTTAATTTCTGATGAGGAGTTTTCCATCCACCCCCAGAGAGAAGGAAAGCAGCGAGCTGGATAAAAAAACAACAAAACAACCAACATTAAAAACCAGTACAGGAAGGACGATTCACCTTTTCCCCTTCTCTTCACCAGTACAGGAAGGGCAATTCACCTTTTCCCCTTCTCTTCACAACTTCCGTATTTCAGCCAATCCATAACAAAACGGTTTCTACTTGGCATTTGCAGATTTCTGCTCTTGGCACTGTTTCTTTGTTTTCAGATGGACCAACATGGCATTTGCCCCACACTTTACTGATGGGGCTTCTCTGATGGGTTTCACCAAGGTCTTGCTGAAGGCCCTGAGGTCAGAGGGGAACCAGTCGATCCCAGGGCTGCAGGGAGAGGGCAGTGAACTATTTAAGAGGGAACAGGCAGCTATGGGGCACATGAGAGGGCTGTAACGCTGGGAGAAGGGTGTTAGGGCAGCAGCTAAAGACCTGGGAAAAGCCTGGGGGAAAAAAAATGTCAGTAAGAATTTAAAAAAAAATATATATAATTAAGAAGACCTTTCTTTTCAAATACGACATGAAAAGAAAAAGATTGAAAAAACACCCTTTTGTTAGGAGACAGGCTGTATAATGCAGTGGAATGTCTTAATTATCACTTTAATACACCTAACAGCTGTAGATTAATTTCCTCCTCTTAAAGAAACCCTGAAATACCAGCTATAAAGATTCACCACGTGCAGCTCACCAAGAAGAAACAAGGAGTAAAGCCACGTGTGGTGCCACTTCTTAAAAAAAAATTAATACCCTCGCCAAATGGTATTAAAAACCAGTCATGTGGCTATGACTAAGACAAATGACAGACTACAGTTCAAGACGTTACAGCCTTCAAAGGGTTAATGAACTGGCCTTTACCTAAACTTCCCGATACTTGATTTTTTCATGATGCATTTGCTT